AGGTTTGACTCGTTTGACTAGCTGTTTGACTGGCTGTTTGACCAGTTTTTTTGTAGATTTAGGGCATGGAGAACTGGAAGCTACTACTTTCCTGGCCAAATTCGCACATCTAACATGCTGATAACCAAATATCTGTAAAGATAATCAGACAGTAAGTTAAGCAAAGTGCACCTTTATGTTAAATGATTGCAATGCCCCATCCCCGCTGCAACATAGAGAGTGACAAAAGGAAAGCAACACTTAACTTGGAAAACCCAACAGGACATTTAACCCTTAAACTACCAGAAGTGATTAACAAGTTACTTGTTTGTACAATAGCCATGCATTATTCAGCAAGCAGGTGATGAGAACATCAAATCAGGTAGAAGTCGCAATGTTACCTTGATCTAACAGCAAATTCTCGTAAATAATTTACAAGGAAATGTGTAACAGCTAGAAGGTAGAATTTATTATCAAATCTTAGGAGTAAAAGGGTTAATGACAAACTGAAAGTCAACTACATGTTTTGAATTACATAGCTGCAGTCCACGTAAACACCGCGCACATTAAAATGCAACAATGACATTTTGAAGTTTCATTACATTGGTGGCAGCATAATTAAAATGTAAAACTGTCATGGTTATCCCAAATGCTGTGGCACGAAGCCACAAAAAATACCAAATTTTTTCGCATGTTCTCAAGTCTGGACTTCAGTCAAAAGCACGCGGAGGGCATATTTCAATCGATCAGGTACATGAATTGTTCTCCGATCTGTATTTTAAGGTTTTTAGTGCACACAAAAAGGAAACCTTTTTAAAAAAATTGAATATCTGTGTGAGTGAGATGGAAAGCTCACTCGCGATTTTTACCGGAAGCAAGTCAAGCATTCGTCGTCCGTGCAAAACAGCCGCCATATTGGAAATGTGTCCCAGAAAGCCATGCGTCGAAACGGGTGAAGGTCCGGGGGCAAAAAAACAAAAAAAAAGCAACGTTACCCCTCCCCCCTCTAAAACGAGATGGGGTCGCGTCTGTCATGGGAAGAAAAACGTGATGCTAAAGAATCGCAGATTCTTTTTAGGACAATTTTTTTAGCATAGTTAATCCTTAGGGTAATGGGAACAAAAATAATTAAACAGTTCTATTCCAGAAGATAATTGTTAGCATGGTATGACGCGACTATGACGTACTATGTTCCAAAGAATCTCTTGACACCATGAAGTTTCGATAGTATGTTTCTGTCAAGCGATTTTCATATCGTCCACTTCATAAACAATTATTAATTAATTAATTATAATTAATCTTTTACCGTTTGAAGAAATATATTGAGAAAATTGGGGGAAAAGCTGCTCAACAAAATTTAAGGAAACACCTTAAAGACAGCCATACAGATGTCATCTCTTTTAAGACCTTTTCAAGACCAGTTCCTGAACGCACGTGCTTTTAATACTCTCCCGTTGCTCGTGCAACCAACCCCGTTTAGCACGTTTTAAGTGAGCAGTTACGTAATTGGCAATTGCCTAATCGACTTATAAAGACTTGAGCAGTTACAGTTGCTTGGATCGAGTGCACGTTATTCATCTTGGGGATTACTTATGATCAGCTTCCTTTGTGAGGAACAAGGAACCATTAAAATTTGCCCCGATCTCTAAAATGTAGCTCTAACTTTGTCAACCATTAGAGGCAACTAACCCAGCTCCATCGTAAAGCCACTGTTACATGCTATCGAACCATCATTTCTTTTCTCTATTTTACAGGTTTTCCTTTTGTGAAATTTACTTTGTTAGGATCGATTCGCCTCGCATTTTCGTTTATTTATTTATTTATTTAAAACATGTTATCAGTTTGTTGGTCAGTTTAAATTTTCTTTCTCGCTTTTTTTCGTACCATCTCGGCAAGTCTCCTGTCAGCGAGATGCTTATATTAATCACGTGCTTCGTACAAAGAAAACAAAGTAAAACTCCAGATTTAAACCCAGCACAGCACATGACTAAAATTGGCCCTCTTGACGTTGACTCAGGCACTTTGATCTCGCCATGTCTTAATGTTCCGGTCGAGTGCTTGTAGTCACGTGACCTTTCATCATCTCGTCATCACAATTTCTAACAAGTGAATAATTTCTGTTTCCTGTCCCACATTAAAATATACTCTGACGTTTAGTCAATGTTGAAACTATTTATGCTGCAACAAATATTTTTGCTCGCGCGCGATTGGTCAAAACGCATCGCGTGACCGGATATCCTCCCAAACTAAAACTGGGGGATATATCCGATGTTATCAAAAACTGGATCATTGGATGATGCAATTCAAGACCTTTTATTGCATGGCTTAGCTATTATGGTATATGAGCCAGTATACCATAATCTACAAATATGGTAAGCGTACACGTCAGCTTAAAAAAAAAAAAGGAGCTTAAAAAAATTTAATAAAAAATTTAATAATTTAATTTAACGCTTTTAATAAAACAATTATTACACTCGCGCTTGTCGGATATGAGATGATTGTAGCCAACTCGGCGTTACGCGCCTCGTTGGCTATCTATCATATCCAACGCGCACTTGTGGGATAATTGTTAAATATACCCTGCGGAATATTCCCCAATTTTCTGGATTTGAAATTTAATTCAGATGAGAAACGTTGTGTTGCTGTTACAGAAGAGGCAGAAGAAAAATGTGTGGATTTTTTGTGTGTGTGTTTGCCTACATAAAATCGTATCAGAGAACACCGAAAAGTGATCCACGCTGTGAAAGGCAAGCTGTTCGTAAACATTTTCCCGCACGTTGAAATATATTTGAAGGATTATCATGAACACAAAAACCTCCATTTGGCGCAAAAATATATTTATGCATTTGTCCTTAGGCACATTCTGACCCACAGCTTCGCTCTCGGAAAGCTTTGCTTCTTGGAACAGATAATGTCCACGTTTTAGATTTCCATCTAGTAGAAAACGAAACTTGAAAAACGGTCGTGAACACAAGAAGGTGGTACGCGCGGTAAAATCTTAATCAAACAGTTTAAGGCCTACTCCGTAGTCTCGCGCTATTCGTTCAGACATAGTACTGAACTATGGTTAAAAAAGGTTAACTTTCTATAACAATAAAAGATATTTTGCGTAAACCAAATTCAAAATAGCGTAAGTCCTTCTCACACGTGGCAAGCTTGAGCCGGTAATGTAATGTTGCGTAATTTGTTTTCCGAACGGTCCACTGTAAAATGAATGTGACCAGAAATTGAAAAACTGCACTTTAAACTTTCTTATTGGTGCAGGTGGTATGGGTCATGAATGTCACCTGGTTTTCAGGTTAAATCAGTTTGGAACTCCCACGTGACAAATCCGTCATGGTGGCCTTGTAATCATGCACCCCACCTGATGCAGTAAGTAAGTTTGGTTCCTGGTAATTCGCAGAAAAGGCAAACCCCTGAAAAACGTGTTTGGGGAACGATATCTTTTGACAATCAATGTTACGCAACCGACATACTCACAAATCATTTTTATGTATCTGTTTTGTTTTTGTTTTTTAAGTTTGTTTATTTGTTATTTTTGACACATCGTAAAATTTTTGTTCGACTAGAGAATCAAGTATTTTTGCTGCCCTTTCGGTAGCTCTTGGGATCAGCGAGCCTTGAGATCAGTGAGTTCTTGCATCAGCGAGCCTGAGTGAAATTCGCACCTAATGCCGCTACTGCTATTGTGTCTTTTTTTTTAGGACTGACCTTCCTTTTTTCTGCGCATTTACGTGTAAAAATAGATCTAACAATGCGGGGTGTTACACGGTCACAAGTGTGCCCCGTGCGGTCACAGCTGAAATGGTGTGTAAGTACAAGCGCATCATTGGTAGCTTTTCGTACATTACGTAATAAAGTTCTCGCCTTTTGGTGCGGGGGGGGGGCGGGGAGGAGGGAAGGGGTCTTAGCCCTACCCAAGCGTTCATTAGCATCTAAACATGATATTTTGCTCAAGGAATAAACATATAAAAGTTTGAGAGTGCAATAACTTCAAAAGTAAAAGATACTGTGCGAGGCAACAATTCTCATTGATAGCCCCGTCCTCCAGGGCCATGCACCAATGTGCTTGTACACATTCACAATCGGTAAGGCGCTCCTCCGGTGAAGGTGGCGAAATATGATTGCTATAATCGTTAATGATTGATAAACAAATCTATAAGTGACAATTATATTAGGAAAGGAAGTTTTCTGGCTAGTGACCCGTGTTTAGAGAAAATTTTCGGGAGCAGTTACATTCTGCAACGGGTTGCTTGGAAAATGAGAAATTCAATAGTGCCGGATGCGTTGGCGTATGAAGAGGCTTGGCCGAAATTCGATCTATTAAGTTCGTTGATTTAGCCAACGTAACGTTCTCTGTATATGCCTGCAATATGAAACTGTTAGGTCGATTTTACCCTCTCTTTCTCAGGGATGAAAACAAAGATTTCCTTTCCACAATCAAATATCGATCAAACGCTCGCAGACGGTGTTGTATCAATATTATGACAGGTCTCGATACCGACATTTGCGGTACATGAGCACTCAATACAAAAGCAATTAATCTGACTAGCCGTCGTGAAAGAAAAAATTCACTGAAAGACGAATTTTATATAATGGTCGGGATGCATATCCGATTCAAACCAAGCCTCGGGTTATAAAGAACAATTCGATATAACATTTGTAACTGGTACGGGATGTAAATTTTGCAAAAAAGGGGAAATAAACAATCCACTTCACGCTATCGGTGCCCCCTAAGTTAGCCTAGAATTGCCGACTTTTTAGGTTCAATCATCCAAATTAATATTACATGGCGACTGGCGGCACAGCCACTCGTGAATCATGCGAGAGAGTTGTGACTCAGACAAAAGAAATTAGAAATTCCACTTCACATACACAAAACTTGTTATTTCCTGTAGAGTCACGGAGGCGCTTAATGAGCTGCTGTGATTGGTTTATTTTTACTTCCGACCTCTGGGGGATAATAAAGAATGACAACCACGTGACACATGTCAATCTCCTCCGCGTTTGAACCCAAATTATTGAGCGAGCGATTGTAATTCCGAAAGGCATTGATCTTCATGCCAAGCGAAACTCGGAGGATATTTTCTCTTGGCATTTTATTGCACATTTAGTCTCGTTTGAAAAGCCACGAGTGTCATGGATCTACTCCTTGATTGCAATGGACAAGTTTTTTTACTGAGATCTTTTTGGGTTTGGCTCTGTTTAGTCTGGTTAGGTAAGCATTTATGACTAAATTGAAGCATTTTTGCAAACCATACTATTCGGACTAGTTGTTGTTGGGTCAAACTGTTGCGTACTGTCCCTGTTATTATGTCGTTTCTTTTGTCTAAACCGACGTAAACTTGATAGGAAAGCACCTTGAAGTTTCTGTTTGTGTGTGTTTGAGATGGTAGCGAGTTCGATTTTAGAATCTGTAGTTGTTGTTTGTTACCGGTTCGTAATCGAAAAAAAGCAAATGTGCGCTCTAATAAACGGCGGCATTCGCTTTGTTGTCTGTAATCTCTTCCACTTTCCTTTACTGCTTGAAGAAGCTTATTAGAGGCGCTCAGAGTGATCCATGATTGTTTCAGTGGTATGGCTGTTGTTAATTTTGTATAGCGAACGCTTCGCCGGGAAGAATTAATTTACTCCCGATGGAGGAGGAGATAGAGAAATATATTACGCATCTTTCCTTACGCGTGCTTTTCACACTCTCTTTTTTTTTTTCAGGATCGTATCTCCCACAATCGCAGTCAGCAAATCTGCAATGGCAAACTCAACCAGTAGAACAAACTGTGAATGAAGGCAACACTGCCAATTTTTCTTGTTCGGCGACATACTCTAAAAAGATACATGGGTACGATTGGGAATTAAACAATCAGTCTTTACCGAGAGACAGTCGCTTTACCAAAAAGGACGATGGTAGAACGTTAGAAATATCTAACGTTAAGTTTGAGGATCGAGGAAATTATAGATGTGTGGCCATCAGGAAAGGTAAATCTTTAGGCAAGAGTCAGAACGCGGCCTTAAATGTCAAAGGTAAGAAATTACCACGGTTTTTTGCATGAAATTTAGGGCGTAAGTCTTTCCGGTGGAGTTTCTAGCTAAGTTTCTTTCAAGATTTCTGGCGAGTTGTTTTCACTCGTTCGTGCGGGGGGCATTAAATAGATTATTGTACAATGGGTTGCACGCATGGTGAAACGGCAAATCGATCCAGAAGGGCGATTTATTGACTGTCGGTGTCTTGCAGAAGTACCATGGAGTGGTCATTTCCTTTAGTCGTGTTCTTCCCATCGCGCCCGGAAAATAATCAAACAATTTGTTCGTGTTTTCTGCCAGGTAGAAATCAATAAGTCGCTCTTAAATCTTCGATTTAGTGTAAGTCATTATGTGTATACGGTCGAATCTTCAACGCTATTGTTTCGATTTTATTCAGCTCTACGGATGGCGCTCGCGGTAGTCTCTTGAGGTTCCTGCTCCGCTGTTTGTTCGGCACACTTGAATCGAGTTCAAGTTTGTTTAATCTAGTTCCCGATACAGATCATCTACATTGTACCTTTTGGTTTCGCGTACTTTAAGTGTCCGGATTTGGTGGATTTTTTTTCACGCGGTCGTAACATCTTGAATAAGCGACATATTTTGTGGTAATTTCAAACTACCCATCTGGATCAATTTTCTGTCCAGCACGCAGGGAAAATTTGTTAGGTTTGAAGTTGTCCGAGAATCGATCCAACTTTGTCCAAACACGATTACATGGTCACAATCAAATATTTTCCTTTTACAGAAATGATGAAACGCCACATGTTGTACTTTAAGAGATAAGCTACAGACATTCAAGTGTCGTACTCAAACCACTCGTGCATTGCATTTTTTTTTAATTGATTCTTATGTTAGAGACGTCAGCTTTATTGACCAATATGTTTATTTGATTGTATTATCGAGACGTGTATCATTTTTGTCGCCTTTAAAAGTCACAGACGCTGGATACAGCATTTAATTATTGATATCGTGTTGGTGATTTTTTTCCCTTTACAATACAGCCGAGAAAGGTACTCTTTTGTCAAACAGCTGTAATGTAGCTGGGTAATTGCTAACATTAATAAATCATGATATGATTTTCCGAGATTACATAAAAGGTTTCAGAAATCTTGAGGAAATCTTTGGCAACATTGTAAATCTCAATCCCTTCACATTGAGGGGAAGGTGCATTTTATCATGTATTGAAACAATTTTCTCACCATGAAGTAGATGGAAATTTGTACATTTTGAGATGAACCGAATAAATTTTCAAACAAGTCAGAGTTTTATAAATTTATCACTCTAAACATGCAGATGTAATTAGTTGTGTTTTGATTTGATATCCTGTTCTTGCAATTATGTAGTAAATTAATTTCTGACTTTTTGTAGAAGTTTTGAACTTATGAGTCTACACGAGACGATAGTGATGACAAATTAATATCCACAGACAGACACTTAAGGATACTGCACTAAGAGACTTGGATATCATTTCACTTTTTGCCCGGAAGGCAAAAAAAAAGAGAAAACAAAGATGAAAGTTAAAGATCAAAGTTTTGCATTTTAACTGGACTGTGTTCACAGCAAAAACACATTCCTTCCTTTTCTTTTTTCGTAGTTTTGGATAGGGGCTACATGTAGGTAGTAGAATATTTGTCCATTTTAAACAAAAATTACTTTTTCAAGGAGGAAAATGAATTATTTGCAGACTCTTTAGTCTTGTGAACTCTAGCAATCCAGTCAATGGGATGAAAGGTTTCAGTTAGGTTTTTTTTTTTTTTTTTTTTTTTTTTTTTTTCCTTTTTGGAAAGGAATAGCCTTAATGTATTGCTGAATCTCAATTATCTCAAAATCTCTCTCGCTCTAATCTGGGTGGTTTAAAATTTGCCCCGCCCAGGAAATATTAAATACTTTCCTGCTAAACAATAATGTGATCTCTGATATCATGCATTTTCAAGTTTGCTTGATGAAGTGAACTCAGTAGTTGTCTTTTGAGAGTTTTTTATATAGATCTATATAGAATTTTGGTGACTTCTTCATTATGATACATATATTTCTGCCAGGATTAAAATATTTACAAGGGATATCTTAACTCAATTCATGTAAAGGTGAACGTGTGATAACAGATATTCATGTTCTTATTAGGAAAGAAAAATGGCCTGAAGCCATAGGATCAAATTCTCATGGAGTAAAATAAATTATGGCCCATTTTTTTAAATGCAAACCTTCAAAGTATCTCTGCAAATCCTGTCTAGTAGATGATGAACATGATCATTTATTAATTTACATGGGGGACAATTGTTCACAGACATTTTATAAGTGCTGTGAAGAGTTCATTTTATCTAAAAGTGCAAGTACATGTTTGCAACTTAAAGTTTTTTCATCAAATTCTTATCAGAGAACCTGTCTTAACTAGAAGATCAAACAGCCATATTTTAATGATAGAATATTTTTATGCAAAGGAGGTAGCAGTAACATTACTGGGTATGCCAGCTTAATTCCCTTTTAAAGGTTAATGGTATAATGAGCTTAAACTTGGAAGCAGCTTAAGCATAGATGCTGTCATTAGAACAAAGAAAGATCCTATGTGAAGTTGTTTTGCCCAGTTAAGACTGAAAATGTGGTTGTTATAACCATATTAACTAGTTATTAACTTTTTTTGCCAAATAAACCCTCATTTTATGTTTGTGTATTGTTTGTTGTACCATAAAAGTGATTTACTTTGATTTATGCTACACTTAAATAAACTTTTGTATATCACCATTGTTGCAGGGCTTTTTAAGTGATGTTGATTGAATTGCATTAATCTTGTATCCTCATTTTGGGAAAATTGTATATAGTGCTTCATACCAAATATTTTATCCTTTTCAGGAATTTGCTCAGTGATTCAAGCAACCATTAAGCCCTCGGGCAAAAAATTCTTAACAGGGACTGATTTACAACTAAGATGTAAATGTTACATTTATCCGCCGGGGACATATGTTTGGCAAAAAGATGGGAAAGAGGTTGTCACCAATGCAAGAGTTATGATCAGTCGCAACAAACTGTTTATCAACAATGCAACTGAAAGCGACAGTGGTGATTACTCTTGTTCAGCAACCACGCAGGATGGGTCAGTTACCAAAGTGGCACCATCTATGTTGTCTGTAACTGTTGTTGGTGAGTATTTGTCATACAATCTCTGAGCTGATACTTTATTATTTATTTAATTAGTTATTCTTTATTGCAATATTTAGAGAGGCTGACCCAGTTCAGCTTTAAAACTGGTTCATTGTGGGGCCTGTACAAACAATAACAAGGCCAGACCACAATGTTGGGAGCTAAGTTTCCTATTCTTTGCTAGAGGTGTGAGGGTTGGTTATTGTCACTTTTTAACCAATGCAGAGAAGATGCAAGAGACTGGGGCCAATGGCTTATCATCCTTATAAGAGAAAACAAGCTTTTTACGCTCGACCCCTAGGACCTCCCACACAGCAGCCTAGCACTTTGCTACACAAGCTACATACATGTAACCAAGGACTGTTACAGCTGTACTTTTGTCTCATTTGATACATTAACCTATGTTTAAAAGATGCAGATTGTTAAATGTTTAAGGTCATTCCATATGGCATTTGGACAAGTCACTTTATTCTCACCATGCATTTCTCCATGCATAAGCATGCAGCCCTTGCAAGGAAAATGACAATATTTTATCCTCTTGGCTACTTTACTTTCTTACACAAGCATCTTAATGGTTGTTCCTGTAAGGTGTGGGTCCAGGTTAACTTAAGGTTGATTTGTCCTACCATAGTTTTAGATATGTGTCAGATACTTTATTCTTGAGGAACTAATCATGCTATTTCTATTATTCAATAGTTGGACGAGATCCTCAATTTCAAGTTCGTCCTCCAAAGGAGAGAATAGTTACACAGGGTAGCCAAGTAGTCCTCCCTTGTAAAGCTATCGGCAGCCCAACTCCTGAAATTAAGTGGTATGCAGGGAGTGCTCGTAACCCATTGCAAAGCTCATCTAAATACACAGTTCATGATAATGGAACACTAGTGATAACCAATTTTAACAAACAGTATGAACAAAAATACAAGTGTACAGCAACAAGCTTGGCTGGGGAAAAGACTGCAGAAAGCACTTTGATAATTGCCTGTAAGTTACTGGCATCCTATTCAGCAAGAGCATGGTTTATTTGTTTTAGTTAGAAACCAAAGCGAAATAATAAAACAAAGAAAGAGCCTGGTAACATGGATGGCATTTTATACACTGTTGGCAAGGAGATTATAAAAATGTTGTAAAAGGGGAAGTGGCCATAATGATTTTTGTGCTTTGAGTAGGCCGAATAAGCTCGATTCCACAGTAGGCCATTTTACAGTTGTGTACTTTGTTGCCAAGCCTTTGATTCAGAGTGAGGCTGAAGGTGACCTTGTTGTGATAGAGACCTGTATCTAGTTAGCATGATAACAAAGTGATTTACATTTGAAAGGCAGCAAGGTTTCTATCATAACAAGGTCACCCCTAGCCTCACTCCTGTTCAAAGGCTTTGCAACCAAGCACACAACTGTAAAATGGACTATTATTTGCATTGAGAATGTGCAATGTGCTACAAGGAGATTACCTGAAAAGATTCAATGTTTGTAATGTCAAAAGAAGCCTTCAAAATGTTAAGTAGTTGTGGGAGGAAAACAAAGAAAATAACAAAAGAAATCACATTTATTTACGGCATCAGTATGGATAGCTCAAGATGAAAGTGAGTGAATCAGATTACAAATGATAGACTTGTAAAAGTTAGTGTAAATAAGTTGAAAAGCCCAGTTACGTTAAAGTCAGTTTAAAAATCATGGAGAGATCTTCCTTAAATGGCCATCAGTGGAATAAAAAATGAAAAAAAAGTTAGTAAATCAGCATACAAGGATGCCGTACATTTTGTCTAAGATCTTCATTCAAACATAAATTTATTTTTTTGGTTCAAACCAGTTTTTTATATGAAAATGTTTGTTTTTGGTTTGGTTAAAGGAAATTGAATTTTTTCTTTGCAGACTTGAATGATGTTACCCTAGAGCAAACCAAAGTTTATGTTTTGCTTAATGACCCTTTGGAAATAGTGTGCAATCCACCTAAAGCAAAGCCAACTGCGTCAATAACATGGCTCAAGGAAGGGGGAGGAGATCTGCCAAAGAGATTTGATACAAAAGGTTGTTGTATTCTTCGGAACAATAAAACAAAGCTTAGTGATGCTGGAAGTTACACTTGTACAGCAAAAAACCAGGCTGGAAATAAATCAGAAACTGTTGAAATTATAGTTGCTGGTGAGTATTGCTGATCACTGGCTCTAATGAGGTACTTGAAGTACATCTATGTATGGTGTTTACTGTGCGTTTGTCCTCTATTTGCTCTTAAGAAGGGCTAACACATAAAAGATCGGCTTGAGTAACTCTTTACGGTGGCTGATTTACGTTAGCAACTTGGTTGATAAATGCAAATTATCTTCTATATGGAAATTTTTTGCTGTAATGCTTTTTTCTTTGAAGTCACACCTTGAATTTGGACATTGATAGTTCTTCCTCATAATTAAATGATGATTTTAAGAATAGGACAGAATCTACAGCAAAGGAACCATGTTGCAGAGTTGCTGATTGACAAATGTGCCTTTGATGCATTTCAGTTTTTGGAATACTTCTAAGCCATAGTCACAGGATGTTACATATTTAAAAAGTGAAGTACTGAAGAATTGTAAGCAAACATTGAGCTTTGAATTACTTAGCTAAAAATATTTCAAGAATAGAAATTGAATGTTTGGTGGTCCCTTTCTTGTACATATTGAAAGGAATTTGGTTCTCATGATGTTTATTTACTCCTCTTGTTCATGCCATTTTTCCTTTTGCGGGGTAGGGGTAGGGGTAGGGGTAGGGGATGGGCATTGGTGCATATGTGAGGCTTGGGGTTTAGTAACTTTCCTTACCAAAATGGTGGGAGCTCATTTGAGGTGCCTTACTCAGGGCTTGATGCTATTGGTAGCCAACCCAGCCACAAACTAGTAGGAATTCAGTTTTGGCTAGTGGTATTTTATTTCCACTGACCAGTTTTGCTAGTAAACAAACTGAAATTTTTGTAACATCTAAGTTGTCACTAACTACTTAGCTAGAAAGTTCTAAAGTTAGTGTCGAGCCTGAATAAATCTAGTAACTCTTGGGAGGTTCTTGGTTTTATTCAGATGGGAAGGTGGAGGGTGTAGTATGAAGTTGAAACTTAATGATATGAATTATTTTGGTTTTTAGTGCAACCAAAGATTGCCTCAAAACCCAGAAACCAATCCCTTAAAGAAGATGAAAAAGCTGTTCTTGATTGCAAAGCTAAAACCACACCAGCCCCCAATATATCGTGGTACAAAGGTGACAAACCTGTAAAGGTGGACCAGAAGCGGATTTTTCAATTTACAAATGGAACTCTAGTCATAAACAAAGTTATGCCAGATGATTTAGGATGGTACGAGTGTACAGCCGATGTAGCATCTTGGTCAGACAGTGCTGAGGCTAATGTTCATGTAATGGGTAAGTAAGGCAACGTCTTGACTGACGATTGGATCGTCTTACATGGAATTGTTCTGTGTTCTGTGTGAACCTGTATTAAGCTGTCAACCGCAGGATTCCAGCTAAAGTGAAGGTAACCCTATAAACTCTAACACTAGTGTGGGGATGTGGATTCTCTATGAATTGTTTTGGTACAGACCAGGAAATTGTGATCAAGAGCTTCTTCAAGTGATGTCTGTACCACAAAGGAGACTAAATGGCCAAGTAGAGCTTTATCCTCTTGATTTTTGATTCTTGGCCTGTTGATTTGGAGTATCGGCTGCTTGAGTTGAAATCTTGGCCTCATGATTTGGAGTCCAGGTTAAAGATAATGAAACTATTTTAGAAAATCTCCAGATGATCCTTTCCCCTGTAAGATAAGTTTTTCGTGATCAGCAACTAAATGAACAATCAGCATCAACATAACAAGAAAAAGAGTGGATAGAAACAAAAGAGAAGCTAAGTTGTTCACTTTTCCTTCATTTCAGCGAAAGTGAAGCTTCGAGGCATCCATACCAACCAAGTAAACGCCGATCTTCACAAACCTCAAAAGATCCGATGTGACTTTGAAGGACACAAACCCATTAAAGTTACCTGGAAGAAAGAAGGAGTTGTCGATTTTGATTCAAAAAGGGTGAAGCAACAAGTTAGCATGCTGATTTTTGAACAAATTGAGAAAACAGATGAGGGCCATTACTGGTGCAGGGGTGAAAATGCCTTCAGCAGTGCAGAGAGCTATGTCAACATCTCTGTCTACGGTAAGATCATGATCAGATTTTTATGGGAAAGTGGAAAAATAATTGGCAACGAAATTTCTAGATGAAATTGCCATTTTTATAAGCTTCCAACTCTTTGCCATACTTTTACTTGTAAATTTCACATGAGAATTTGGCAATCCTAAACTGACACCCTTTACCTGATAAACTTCTCTGTTTTTATAACCCGTCTTAAGATAACGTGTTAATCATTTCTGGGAGTTAAAAGGGTTTACCTATTTTCCTAATGGGTCGATACGTGGATGTTCTCTTTCTTTTACAATGTAGAATTAATTCCTATTCAATTTATGGAGCACTGTTCATCCCACAATGACGGGAATTATTATTGTATGTGGAACGATGCTTTTTTGCGCGTGCGCATATCGTATTCTGGGTAATAGTGCATCATATTACCGGATTGTGTGACATTTTTCCCGTAAAGGTATGTTCTCAAGTGATATTGAATTAACCGGTACACCCGTCCTCAGTGTTTTTGTCACGGCTGAACTGTAATTATTTTCCATCAGTTTATCCCACGTTTGTCCTGCGGCCGAAGAACACTACAGCTTTCGTAGACGATCACTTGTGGCTCCATTGTAACGCATCAGGTGACCCTAAACCCAAGATCAGTTGGAGCAAAGAGGAGCAAGGAGGAGACAAGTTAGATAAAGAGCGGTTCTTTTCGTTACCTAATGGAACTCTTCACATCAAAAAGGTGCAATTGTCTGACCAGGGCAGGTACTACTGTATCGCTGCTAACCACGCTGAAATGAAACAGAGCAAATTCAGTCTTAGAGTAAAACGTAAGTTTCCTGTTTTAGAATCTCACAACATTCATTTTCTTCTGCTAACTTGGCACTCAAGCTTTGTCTTCTTTCCACACTCTTTTTTCTTTTTTTTTCGGGGGGTGGGGTGGTGGGGGAGGGGGGTTGGAAGGGAGGGAATGAGAACAAGGGATGGCTAGGGGGCTCCCTTCTCAACATTCTTTCCGAGCAATTTCAATCAATTAAATACACAGAGGCAAACGCTTGTGAATTGCCTGTACGGCGCACGTTGCAACCTCTTGATCGTCACACCATGTATCGGTTTCCATTTGACTTCAAAAGAGAAGTATAATCGCTTGCCTCATGTTGTGGTCACATCCGAAGTGGCCACATCGTGAGACAAACAATTATACTTCTCTTATGAAATTTTCTCTCTTTATCTGCCGTTCACCAATAGAGAAACTCTCAGTTGAGGGTCGAGTGTCACCCGGGATCACTTTGGTTTTACTTAACTTCGTTTTTTGATTGGTCTAGAAAACTCGCGCCACCTTCTCGATCAGTCAGATGCAAAACTAACTACAATTCGCGACCGGGTCAATCGCGCCTTCCCGCACTTCGAGCAGTTGGCATGTTTTTACTCTAAACCTGATTGGCTTGGGATTGTGTTAAACTTTGTTTTGATTGATCGCCATGAAAACTTTGGTACTCAGTTGAAAACTGCTCTGATAAAAGTTACTTATCTGTGATGTAAAGCATTTCATTTCTTCCCTCCACAGCCCATCCTTTCGTCAAAGACAGCGAATCACCACCATCCATGATAAACATAAAATTTGTTCCCTCCACAGCCCATCCTGTCGTCGAAAGCATCAAGTCACCAGCCTCCATGGGCCGCACCATAGGAATTGCAGTCGGGTGTGCAGCAGCATACATTGTTTTGGTGGTGGGTTTGATGATTTACTGTAAAGGGCGACGAGCCAGGCAAAACAAAAAAGAAGAGGTCTTGCCACCAGAATGCGAAAACTGTAAGTAGTTTCGTTTTTGAATCGATAACAGAAGTGTTCTTGCTTCGTCTATATGACGAGGTATCATGATAACAGACGAACCTAAAAGACCGTTAACCGACTGTAGTTTTAAGGAAAAGACGAAAACTAACTACATAAGTTGTGTGGTAAACATAGAAAGGAAAAGTAGGCTCGAGAATTCGTCGCCTAAATCTCATCCTTAGAGACCCTTCTGTTTTCTGCTATAGTGAGGTAGGGTTCTCCCGAAACAGCCGTTCTTCCTGACTTTAGAATGGATTGTTAAACAGAGAAAACAGATTACAATGAATGCGAAAAAGAAAAAGCAAGTAAACCTTGGTTTTTGCTTGAGCCTGTCGATGAGGAAGACTGTGCGTAACATTGGAAATCTAAATTTGATCTTTTGGCTCTTTTATATATATATAGATATACGTTGGCTCCTGATTTTTTGTGATCCAGAAACGTAGAGTTGAATAACAGCATTTTTTGTGTAGTTCGCTTGATTTTTTAAGTCGCCCCATATTTGCTTTCAACTGAAGTTTTTACCACCCAGCCTCTCCTTTCTGTGTTTAGTTACTTTTGGCGAAGTCACACTAATCGTCTTTACCTATTGCTGCCAGAGTTTTTCCGGGTAACCGTGACATAAAGTACTTAGAGTGTAGTTTTTCCTTCTGGAGGGGTGGTAAATATAGCAGCCAAGAATCGAGCCCAGGTCTCTCGCTTTTGCTTCTAGAGCGTTAACCATTAGATCCCACACTTTCTCACATTTGACCTCTTGAATTATCAACAGTGAACGTCAATGGTGACATCGAACAAAAAGATGGAGAAGGAAACGACATGACAATGAACCCCATCTACAGATCACAACCCAGTTACGACAAGATGGAGTTTCCAAGACACGATCTGGAGGCCCTCAGGAGCCTGGGTAACGGTGCTTACGGTCGAGCATTCCTGGCGCGAGCCAGCGGAATCCGTGACGGTGAGAAGGAAACCATGGTGGTTGTGAAGGCATTGGTGAGTAATGATGACCAAGTACGCGAGGATTTTAGCAAGGAAATGGAAGCGCTCTGTAGTCTACAGCATAGTAATGTGGTCACTCTGCTGGGCGTGTGCAAAGAAGAAGAACCATTTTATATGATCTTCGAATCGTTGGAAAAGGTACGTCTGAACTTATGGTGTCTCGGGTGCGAGAATACAGTCAACTGTTTAACTCTGTAACTCCCAAGATCTATTAGTTAATTCTCCCTTCTAGACGCTTCACATTTCCTTCTAAATGGGTTATGAAATTTTGGGGTTCGATAAAGATGACAATTTCTATCCGATAAGTTCGAGAACTCTCATTTCCTGTTTGTTGGATAATGTATGGATATTTTAAGGTGACGGTACATTTTGATCACAACACCCGGAGTTCAAGGGCCAGGAGTAATAAGTGATTTCTCATTGCAGTTTGAGTACATTTTCAAGTAAAGACAAAATAGGAATAAAGAAAAAAAAATCATGATTTACTTGGAGATTCTTTCTCGAACCATCATTATCAGTAGCGTACGAGACGTTGAGGAAAAATTAACTCTCGAAAAGTTTAGCCATCTTGATCGCTCTCTAGCGGTCGGAGAACACTGGGTCCAAGTTGTATCCCAGAGTCTTCACCCTTTGCACCGTAGCGTCAGCATGCGTATTCTCTATACAGTTTCCTATACATCAGTCTAAGGTGTTTACAAGGAGAATTTGTTTAACGATCAACAACTTCTGTAGTTGTTAATCATTTCCTTTATTCTCGTGACTTATTGTTTGATTCAGTGGTGAGATTATAAGGAAAAAATTAGATGCTAGTCACTCTTGGAGATTAAAGGTTCATAGAAGATGTCTCTTACGAAGCGAGAGGAGTCGGGGATCACTCTGGAATTTGGATTGTTGATGAAAGAAGTGTTGCGTGCTTATTAACTTATTTAGATGACAAAAAAAAGGTGTTAACGGCCACTACCTATCGAATTGTCAACGGAAAGGGCGAGGCTACCATATGAATCACGGATTAATTGCTAAACAAAGAACTGCCAAAGATTAGAGTGGTGTGATTACAACTTGCCCGCAAAAGATAAATGCAACAAGGGCGGTGAACGGCGACTAATAAGATAAAACTAAATTCAAATAACGAACTAGGAATCCCTAGTCGTGGTATTCCCACCAATTTTTAGAAGTGTATCAGAAATCATGATGAAAAAGAAAGGTCATAGAATTTTCTCTCGAATCCAAGAAACTGGTAAATTTTTCTACTTAAATGTTGATCCTAGAGTATTGTGCACAATCTTTCATCGGAATAAAGGCGGTAAGCTTTTAAAGAAACTGTGGCACTGCGTCAGTGGAGGTATTACAAGATAATTTGGTTTTTTAATCTGAATTGATAATGTAAAGAATTTTTTAAGCTGGCGTCCGTCATTCGTCAAGACAAAGGACTAACGCTCGACGCGTTTGTTGTAGTTGGGCGAGACATACGATCTTTGTTATCGCTGATAGAGCGCAAAAATTCTTGTTAACAAAAAAAAAATGAAATCAAAACAAAATAAGAGGAAGAGTAAACCCAAACAGAAAAGATACTTCTGGTATGTAAGCTGGGGATTAATTGACCCTCATCTGTCTTTTATGGGAAGAATCTCGAATCCGATGTACTTAGATCGCTGTTTTAAATAACCTGCCATTCACCGCGGTTAGATTTTAATTTCAGGGCACGGAAGGAGAGTTATAAATAGGTATTAAGAATTTTTTTGGTAATGCTTTGGTTCTCGCCGCTAATTTCATATTTGAAAATCCCACAACAGAATTTTACATCAGTTCAGAAAAGCAGCTTAATTTTATCATTGCGTAGTTTACTTGTCTTTCCCCCATTTGTGAGTGAATGGATTTTTTCCGGGCAGGTTTACTTGTCGCGTGATCTTGACATTTTACCTACCCAAGCGGAGAATTCAGTAACTTTTTCCATATATGGCAGCTGTGCCCTAAGGCGAAAGCCAAACACCAGAGCCTGCGGCAGGCTAAACAGACCGCGGTTTTAAGTCTTAAGGCGGCGATAGACCGATAACCGACTTTTAATGAAACCCCTGCTTAAGAAAGGGAATTTTGTTAGAGTAGAGTTCCAGAGCGATTCCCTACCGAAATACGGTAACACAAATCTTGTCGAGTTTACCGTTAATTTGCAGCTTAGTGACAACTCTTTCACGCCGTTGATGATTTTCTCACAAATTAACAGGATGTAGCAAAATCAGAATTGGGCAATTATCACAAAACATAAATTTAGTTGGGGGTTTAATTTGCGTGTGTTGTTAACTAATCGCGTTTCTGGTGTTAAATCGCCATCATGTTGGATGTCCGCTGTCTTAAAAAAAAATCCCCTTTAGGTGTTGCATTGATAGCAAAGTAAAAACTGATTAACTTGAAAGACAATTGGATATTTGGTATGTTGTAATAAATTGTCGCACTGTTAAAAAGGTTATTTGCTAGAAACTTCCAAGAGCATTTGTATAGCTCACTTTTTGCTTTGATATTTCCTTAACCTTCCAAGCGATTCCTTTTAAACAAGATTTATTGTGGGAATAACATTGAAAATGTTTCCGTGCAAAAGAGGTTTTTAATTGGTTTATATGTATTTTGTATTAGAAAATAACTTGCATGGAATGTAAAATCGTTCCTCGATCTTTCTTACCTGATTTCCTTCCCTTGAACTCCCATCAGTGACCAAAACAGAATTTCGCTTTACTATGTTGACACAATACCAAACAGACAAGTGACGAGAATAAAGAAAATATTGATAAGGGGATTGTTAATCGATCCTACGCCAAATTCTTTGAACTAACATCATAAGAACCGCCCAGTTAGTCTAATGGATAGTGCGCTGGACTGTTGTGCGGGAGGTCGAGGGTTCGAGCCCCGGCCGGACCAACACCCAAGGTCTTAAAATAATTGAGAAGAATTTGCTACCTTTCTAAAACATTAAGAAATGTTTAGATATTCTAGTCTTCTCGGATAGGGATGAACTAATGGAGGTCCCGTCTCCTGCAGGGTTGGGGTAGGAGACGTGAATTTCCCACACACGAGATTACTGTGTGATGGCGTCCTCCCCTGGGGTGGGATGGGTAGGAAGGTGGACTAGCTCGAATGGTTCGTATGTTCCTTTCTAGTCTTTCCCCACTGCAAATTAATGCAGTGAAAATGGAATGAATTAACTGTATGGCAGACAGTTTGGGACCTAAGAAGCAAATGAGTACATGCCTAATATTTTTTAGGACTGGGTTTGGTCGTAATAAGCTGAATCTTGTTTTGATTTTGTAACGTGTTGTGATTTGTTGACGTGCGGAAACCCACGCAGCCTCTACGAGTTTTTCAGGCGAGCGGGGGCACGTGCCTGACTTGCTATTCTTGCTTGCCTTGTGCGTCCACGCGCTCATCTGCATTGCGCATGTTCTGTAGGCTATGACTGGCTTGGCACATTGTGCGTCAATTGTTGTCTAATGGTTCGCCCAATATAAACATCATTTGCGTTAATCAATAATCTACGTTCATTTGTTAGAGAACTGTGGCGGGGAAATCTTGGTAGTTAAGGGATTTTTTTTTTCTCTCTTCCTTGTTAGGGTGACTTAAAGCAGTTTCTTCTGTCTTGCTACGATAACGGCCGAAGCACGTTGAATTCAAATCAGAAACTCGCCATTTGTGGACAAGTGGCGACGGGAATGAACTATCTAAGCTCACAAAACTTCGTCCATAAGGACCTGGCTGCGAGGAATTGTATGGTTGGTAAAGATATGCAGGTCAAGATAGGCTTCTTGAGTTTCAGTTACGATCTCTACAACAAGGAGTATTACCGCTTCAACAACGTACAGATACCGTTAAGATGGATGCCTCCAGAGGCCATTTTTGACGATGATTTCTCCGAGAAGAGCGACGTCTGGTCGTTTGGAGTGTTGGTCTGGGAGATTTACACTCTTGGCCAGCTACCGTATCACGATCGGTCGAACGAGGAGGTCCTGAAATGCGTGAAGGATGATCTGCGTCTGCCTAAGCCTGATAACTGCCCGGATACGGTTCTCGAGGTTCTTGAGAAATGTTGGGAAGGGAATCCGCTGGCTCGCCCGACCTTTGCGGAACTCATGGATGACGTTGCGGGAATAAGTGTGGATAGTCACGTTTGATTTCATAGCGCAACCAACCTGCTCGAATTCTTCAATAAAATTAGACCACATGAACCACTCCCTGGCTAATCATTGGTGTCGTGATTTTTCAAGCAAGGTGATTGCAAAGTGCAGATTAGAACTAACTTATTTCTTCCTGAAAGTGTATTTCAAATAAGTGGCACTTTGGCGAACTTTTGAACTGAGGGGCTTGTGTACGATGCTTTCTAGATTTCTGGACGTTATTTTTGTTGTTGTTTCTATTTTAACGATTATGAAATGCAGTTATTTTGTTTTTTGGCCAGAATCCGCTGAAAGAATTGTTCATCTCCTATTTTAAAATTTGCGGGCCGGTTTCTGCTAAAGATTAGAAGATTTCATTTATTTCAATAGGCAATTTCCGAATTACTTTTGGCCTCTTTATCAAAACGAGGTCTGGTGCTCAACCATTCTTGTAAAAATGAGTGTAATTTGCATGTGAATGAAAACTCGTAATCATATGAAAGAATGAGCACCAGGACTCGTTTTGAAAATGAGGCCAAAGGTAATTCGGAAATGGGCTATTGCCTTGAAATCCATACCGACGTGGTATCAGCTGCGACTGATGGCGAATCTGTTTTAACCAATCGCTAACGCCCTAACAAAGGAATCTGGACAGAAAAAAGCGAAGTTAAACTTGAAAATATACGAGATTTGTTGGCTATCCTTTTTTCTCACGATTGATTGCAAGGAGGCAGTATAGAAGAGAGCAAAGAGGAATTTCTAATTCTCTTTCCGCTTGTGTGCGTGGGCAGGTATTACAGATAGACCTGTCCAGTGTCTCGATATGTATTCAGACAACAAGAATTCGGTGGAAAATCTCTGCGGCAATGAACACCGCGCAGTGCGTAGGGTTATGAATTAGAAACCGGGTTACTAGAATTTATTTTCGCAGAACTAGTTTAAGTTTGGTGTGGTAGACAAAAAGGAAGTATTTTCAGGGGCAGTTATCTCGATAGCTTGCGCATTTTACCTAACTGTGAAGATAGAATTGCCAAATATTATAGCAATGCGCGCGTTCTTTTTATCAACCTCGTAGGCTTCGATAAACGTATTTTTCTTTTTTATTGTGCGAGACTTGTACATTTTAAACTTGAATTTGTAGAAGAGGGGACAGATAAATTAGCTATCGAGTTACTTCATTTTGAGGGGATGGTGTGTGGTAATTATTGTTAATGGATTAGTTAAAAATTGTCGGGTACATGTCTGATATTCATAAACCTTGCGTTCGAAGCAGAAAAGGATGGTAATTTAGACGAAGAATGGTTAATATGGACTCCAGTTGTTTAAGGCGGAATGAAAGATTTTGTTTAGGTACATGGTTTTCGATAGCTACATGTTTGTTTCGTCTAAATAATCGCGCTATTTATGTAGAAACGTGTTAATGAGTATAGCTTTCTTGGTGAAGGGTTGCATTCATTTAAGTTAATAGCATTAGTCGATAAACGAAAGAAGTTAGAATTAAAAGTAATTTTATAAACTTGTGTTCCAGTTCAGAAGTTTGACTCCTATTTAACTATACATTTTGTTTTTTTGGTTGAAAACCTTAATGTTAGATTTAAAGATGTTTCGGATCAATGGTAGCAACTATTGAGGAATTGCGTACACACCCCTCCCCAACCCAACATCAATCACTTTGGGGGTTGGAGAAGGTGTGCAATTACCAAGGTGCTGACATAGATCAGATATTTTACGACGTCACAAATTACAGGGTAAATCTCTAAATTGTTACCATTGGAATTCTTTGTTTGAAAGAGTCAGCAGACTTGGGCAACTTTTTAAGGTGCTGCGTAAACTATTTATGTAAGCTGACTGAGTTTTGTGTGAATTGTGGAGCGCATTAGTTGCAATTTTGTCGACTGTAAGTAGTGGGGTTGCTTGCTTGTTTTCACCAGGTGTATTGATAGAATAGATCTGAGCCTTATTTGTAAATTAAATGAAGAATTTTTTTAAAAGTCTTTTGCGATTATGATTTTGAGATTAGCAAGTGTAACTTGGCAATTATATTTTTTGCTAAATAGATAACTATGATACAGTAAAGAACAGGGTGTCGTGTGCAGAAGTTTATCATTTTCACTTGAAAAATGTAAATATTCTTTGTAATTTGTAGATCTTTGCCCGTTTAACAATCCGTGTGATCTTAGCTACCTACAATTGAATTAAAAACAAATAAAATTATGGATTTTATTTGACTAAATTTTTTTTTTTTTTTTGCCATTACTGTTTGCGACTCGTTGAAATTTACGGTCTTTGCTGGCTTCTCAGTCCGAGAAATTGTGACGGTGCGGAGTACCTGATGTGATACGGACTCAGTTTTTAACAGCTCAAGTGAAACTGAATGAATGAGTTAAAATTCTCTTGGAAGGTAGGCCTCCGCCAGGCAACTATACAGAGAGAAGCTGAATGCAAACTAGCGAGATCTGATAAAGAAGATGAAACGCTTCGTATTCGTTCCCGGTCCTGCCATTTTCTCGCTGTTGATCGACTTCACAGACCTGGCGCCTTACGGGCGAAGGGACGGGACGGACTGATGCGCAAATAAGTTGTTAGTCGGTCCGTTATTTGCTGGGCAGGCGTGTCACGTTAAGCTGCGAGCCGGCATTCATCGGTATGTATCGCATGAACTAGCTTCTTGCGAAAGCTGCGAGATGCTATTAGAACCTATTCGCATGCCAGGATGCGTTTCGTTGCTTCATAGGTCGATCTCAGTAATAATTGACACTGGGATTCACTGACTCAATGTTCCATTTCATTTAAGGCTTTATTTCTTGCTTGCTGTAGTACGGTGTTTACCTATTAACCTGAATGTTATAAAATCTGATGTTCGTGTTTGTCCCAAAGTGTTGGCACCCATTGGTTCAACATCATATCTCTTCATCGAGAGAAAATTATGAGATTTTTTCCTCTTGCTTTCACGCAATTTCTTTTTCTTGCTTTTTAGTTAAAAGTCAACTGGCGAAAATTTTAATTCAGATCTCGGTCGGTGGTTTAGCAATACAAAGCAATGCATCTCCATTGAGTATTTTTAAAAACCCTTTGGCCCCTTGGAACGACAAGCATCCAATTTCTCTTTGCAATATCACCTCTTAATCACACATAAATGCTGTGAAAATAAAGGAAATGATCACCTACTAAAGAAGCTAAGCTCTTGATTATTTAAAAAAAATTCTCCTAGTCAGCATCTTGGTAAATGTATAGAGAACAGTATGGAGAATATGCATGCTGGACAGAGCTGAATAATGAAATGCTACGTCGGAGGGTATGCGGTTAACAACACGAGCTCAATTGTCCTAAGTCCGAAATTTGGCGAAATTAGTGGAAAATAATAAGGGCTGACTTTTAAAACCGAGGAACTCTGTTTTCGTCGAAGGCATTTTCCTATTTCCAGAGTTTTTAAGGAGAAAATCAATTTTTGAAAATTTTTAGGGGGTTTACCAAGTTTTTGGAGGTTGTTCTATAAAACAAAAGCGGCAAGGAAAACGACGCCGCGAAGCAATAGAATAGTAAATCAACCATGTGAACGACTCAAAATCCGTGTTTTGGGGCAGAACCTATCGCATGCGTATACATTATTCAGCTCTGTCTGCATACCAATGTTAAGGTGAAAAGAGATTACATATTTACATACGCATTTACATACAACACTTTTAGCTCTTCGAGAATACGAGTGAAGCCACAGCCTGCGCGCTTTCAGCATCTTGCTAAAATAAGATCGTTATGACATTACAAAAAATTAAAACTCTCTTGCGACACTCAAATCAAAGACCAAATTCAAAAAAAATAAATAAATAAAAGAGAGTTCAATTGCGCGCGTCATAGAATTAATGTATATATTATTGCCAGTGCGAAGATCGTTACGGGAAAACGACCACCGCAATCCTTGTGTCCGGCTGTATAACGTTTGGGGATTCCTTTAAAAAAAAAAAAAAGAGATATAAAAGATTACTGTTGAGTATTTTCTGAAGATATCTGTGAAGTGGTCACCATTCCACCCAAGTGGGCGCGGCCCAGTTTCACTTCGTGACCCACGTGTCACAGTTCATCTAAGTTTTTTAATTATCATTTTAAATTTATTGTCTCATTAAGTTGTCATGATTTGCGTACTCCAGCTACGCGGCGCAGCCCAGAAAAGTGATTGCTAGTAAAGAATGCAGGAAAACACAGCCCTGGCTTTATGCCGATCATCTCCATTGAAATGTTTGTATCTGATATGAAAATTAAAAAGTAGCGCACAAGTATTCGACGCGGTCAGTTTGTGAAATAAATTGGTCCTCTCGTTCCCTATTTCCAAAATTTTATCATTGATTTTCAAATTGATACTTCTTTGAAATCCCCAAAGAGCTACCTTTGGGAGAATTTCTCATATGGCTAACAACACCCCACATTAATTTGGATTATCATTTTTTTGAAGTAAGAATTTTCTTGACGTAACTTTAACGGGGTCTTACCTCTCACAAATAGGTACCGCGTACCGTAGATTTGTTTTCTGTTAGCACTCGTCATACAGAAATACTTCCCTTGATCATCAACTTCAACTTCGGTTATGTGCAGCGAACCGTTAGCAACAATATGAAACCTTTTCTTGTCGAGCATTTTACTGCCCTGTCCTTTTTTAAACCACGCAATCGTGATGCGTGGGGGGTCTGCCCGGGCTGCGCAATGTAACCAAGCTGTGTCACCCTCAGAGACTGTTACGTTGCTTGGCTTGTAAAGCTTAGAAGCTGTGTAAGGAAATTCAAAGATGAGTTAACTTATTCGGCATAACAGAAACTTGGGAATTTTTTTATTCAAAAATCTAGCAGAGAAAATTGCTATTTTTCTTTCTCTGTCCCGATCACTCTGGTGGCTTTGAAGGCCAAGATACTATAGACACATGTCAAGCTAGTGTATGATCAGACTCGTTAGCGAGCTCTCGATCTGCAACTCGATTACAGACTCCATCCTGCAAGGGGGAAGCTGCTTCGCTTTATACCAAGTTCGGAACAAATTTCAGTCTGAAAACGAATATTGTAGATGATAGGTTTTGGGCTAAACTGGGGTCAGGACATAGAGAACTGGGTGGTGCACCCCTACCAAGTTTTTCTGTTTGTTTTTCTGTTTGTGGATTCGTGTCGTCAACCTCGCACCACATAAGATGGTTTAGTGATTTAGAAATTGGCAAAGAAAGCTGCCAATTCCTTGCTGTTTGTGATCAACTGATCGTGTTCTCCACTTACGATACACAAGCAAATCAATGAAGGTCGTTAGGGATTTGAAACCATTTGATCCATTGCAGTAATACCGGCCGCCATCCGAAAGCCTCACTTTACGTATATTTAGCGAGGAGCCAAAGGATGTCATTCTTTTTGGAAGCTTCTTCTTCTTCAGGCCCATCCTACTCCAGGTGATGTTTATCTTTGGTTCACTCTCAAACTCGCACAAAAGCGTGATCGTCATTCCCACAAACGCTTGGGTAACATTTTTGTGAGTAGCCTTTATTCTGATAGTGTCGGTTTCTGAATTAAGAAGAAAGAATTAAGCCGAATTGCAACTCAGGGTGTAAAATAGTCAATTTTTTGTTATCAAATAAGTTGAAATAGTAAATTGGCCACCATAAAGAGTTAAAAAGCAGACGTTTCGAGCGTTAGCCCTTCGTCAGAGCGAATGGAGGAATTGTGGGTTGTGTGTGTGTGTGTATGTTTATATGCAGAAAGTGGAGCTACGCTATTGGTGGGAACCTGGTGACGAGAAACACTAGAATGAATTAATGGAATGAAACGCGTTCGTTGATACCTATTGGATTAAGATTGCCAGTTTTAAAGATAAAATTTTGTTCAAGAGTTTTTGCGGATTTCCGAGCTACCTAAATGTAAGGAAAGACCGCAGTAAAGACGCATCCAAACCAGTCTCTGGACACTTTAATCTATCCAATCATTTTAAGCAGCATAAGGCAGTATGCGGTTTTTCCTTGCATTTAGGTAATTTGAGGTAATTTTCTCTAAGCTTTGACCAATAGAATAGAAACAGTTTAGATAGCCTACTTGTAGCCGTACCCTTTTCCCGCTTTCTCCTCGGGGGGAGGGTAAGGCTACACGTAGACTACAGTTTAGATTTTCATGCTTACTTTCCCTAAACATAAAAAGATCCAGGAAGAATTTAGATCAGAAAATTTAAAAAAAAACGGCCAATTTTCTATCGACTTGTTTTCTTGCTACAGAACATATTCATTTCCTGTCAAGATTCTAGCAATTCCAAAGCGAAACCAATTTCTGCCGTTAAAAAACGACTTGAATGACTCGGGGTGAACTGGTACAGGTTGGGGCGAACTTGTTTTATGTTATGGAGCGAACTTGAAAAGATGATTAGAGGCAAACTTGCAATTGGGCGAAACCTCTAGTTACCTTTCACTTACAGGACTGTAGCCAGATTTCAGGACAAGACGAGGCAAGTTTCGAGCGCCGAAGGCGCGAGCCGCTAGAGGGGTCTGGGGGCATGCCCCCCAGAAAATTTTGAAAA